GAGAGAGAGAGAGGGCGATACCAAATGGAACCTCCCGATCGACTAGGAACCGCGCCATGCCGTTGGGTTACATCGCGGTGCTAATCATTATTGGTAACCGAAAAATAACGCTCTAGTCTAAAAGCTATTTGCTCTAGGTATTATCCGTGGATAAAAGCGTATAACCGGCTACGGGCCGAGACTAGACGGGTTCACCTTAAGGCCGCGTTTGCACGCGCGCGCACCAGCACCGCTCGTTGAGCGCCGATTTTTTCTCCTCTCGAGTGACGGTGCCGGGCGATAACGCTCGGTAATTGGCACCATATAAGTGTTATGCGCGCGTGCACACACATATGCAAACGATCTGCAGTCAGCTTGCGAAATTGTGCTACATCAAATTTTTACCGTAAGCTTCGTTCGGGAAAGTCCGTTACACTATCTCACTTTTGTTATCCTGCATCGAATGCATTAATCGGTATTTAATACATCCGATATAAATTCTATACAAGAAAGGAGTTTCAGTTCGCCATATAATTATTACTGATAAACTTGGATATTTATCTCTAGTTTTCTTTTTCGTATATAAATGATCTTGATAGAAAATTTTTATAAGCTTGCGAATAGAATTCGTAATTGTATCAATAGATGCAAGATCTTCAGAATTGATGACTCGTGTTAATATCGTATCAAAGATATCAACGTATCAATGCGAATAAATCTAATTAAGTGTGCATTTCGTAAAAACATATATATTCGCTTATACTGTTTCTCTTTAAGTTTGATTTACCAATTTTTGCTGAGAAATATGCTTAAAATAAAAAAATTAATCTGTAAGGCGAGATAATGAAATTTTGTTTTCTATTGGTTTCCTTATCATCTCGTAAATCCATTATTTCTTAGTGTTCATGAGCGCTCTGAAATCCAATTGTCTAAAAATTGTTAAATTATTATTCAAAGTTACAATTTGCGATTTAATACTACCACGTAGACATTCCGAGTTTCAATATGCAACGAATAACGCTCTGTATCAATAAACGTGATCTTATTCCGTGTTTAATTACATTATGTCGCATAATTATACGTAATCATAACAATTACTGTCTCGGACTCTTAATGCTCAGATTTAATATTCTCAATCTAGGTTATCAAAAGGTACATTATGTTACGTCACAAAGAATATCTTCTGAATGGAATCTCGCTTTCACACTAATATCTAAAATCTTAGCGTAGACGTTGAGGCGCGGATGGCAATCTCTGTGAAAGAAGAAATTTCACACGCGATTTATCCCCCGAAGTACAATATCTTTGAGGATACAAGGTCCCCGGGTAAAGCGTAACTCAACCAAGACAGGTTGCATCGAGATGTTATGATAAACATACAGCGAAAGATCTCGCACCTAGGTGCGAGATCGGGCTTGGAGTTTGCCTGCGTAAACAGACAACGGGAGGACCGGGGGGAGGGGGGGGGGTTTATGTTTCTGTCTCAAATTCCTTACGTGCAGGCGCATAACCCCTTCGAACCTTAATGCACCGTAACGTTTAACGACTTCGTCAAAGAGACTTCCACGCTGTTTGCACGTCGTCTTTTAGAGGACCACGGTCCAAAAGTTTGGCAAGACGATTATCGGCACACGTATAAGCGGCCGGGTTGACGCGAACATTAAGATTCTCCTGGGTGTGTCTATTCACGTTCACATGTCGCTAACTCGGCACTCGATCCACGCTACTTGAATAAGCGACGGTGAAAAACATTCGCGCGTAAAACATTATTCGCAATTCGCTTTCGTCGCTGAAGTAGTAGAGAGTACGATCGTAAAACTCTTTTTAAACCTCTCTGTGCGCGATAATCTGAAACCCATTTTTGAAAGGAGATCGTAAACATATATATATATATATATATATATGAGATACTCAGAGTGAATTAATACCGAGGACAGTAAATTTAACAAGACGCACCGTTTCAATTTTGACATTGCAGTGTATATTCTTTCGTAATTATAATACAATAGATAAGTTATATTTTCAGTTGTATATGTTGTATATATGCTCGCCTACTATGACAACAAACTCTGAACTGCAGTTTCGTTATCCATTGTTAACGTTCATAGTGATAACTTACTGATGGAATTGAGTCCGTAGTTGGTATGATAGACGGACTGCGACGGACTGTTGATCGGGAGTCCGGAGTTGCCGAGGCTAAGGCTGGAACCTAAACTTCCCGCACTTTGTTGACCGAGTTGCCCGAAGCCACTCATCGTCATGCCGCTTTGTAATTGTCCAAGACCTACGGAGCAAAACGAAATACGCAGTTAAGTATATGTAAGAGGCAATTAGTGTAATTACGTGTTACGGTGACAGTGGGGCTCGCAAAGAAAATGGGAAAGATCGGTTTGTTATCGATGTCATTGTCGGATTACAATCGTCGGTGAACAACCGTGGGACCGATAATACGCAGTAAGTAATTTCACCTGTCTCAACCAGTGGACGGGCGAAATTAAATTAGGAGGCAAGCATCGTCGCGACTTCGTCTACGAGAATTGGTGTTTCCTTCTCATGTTGCTTCTTCTACTGTTAGCGCGTGAATGAGACGCTAATCATATCGCGCGTTAAATGACATGACGAATTGTGTGCAATTTGCATAAACGCGAATAATACGCTTTGATTAAATAGCAGACAAAAAAAATGCTTACGTTATCGAGAATTTTCTCGTTATACTTGCATTTTAATCAGTATTTCATCTTTTGAAATAACATTAATTTTGTAAGTCATATTATACATAATACAAAAAAAACATTGTAAAGCAAGTAAATTAAAAAATTACAAATTTAGATTAAATTTATAATATATGTTATAATTTATGTAAGAGAAATATAATTTTTTTATCTGACATGTCGTTAACATATTTTAAGAGATACTTTAAATTATTGATCTCATTGATTGATATAAAAAAATAATTTCTTAATATCCGGAATGTTAACAAATTATTTATTTATGCAGTATTTTAATATTCATATATTCTCTCGAAAGTATTTGGTTTACAAAAATGAAAGAAATTATTACAAAGGCATTGACTTCATCATTCTCTTTTTCTTTCTTAGATCTCTATATTATCGGAATAGATTATCCAAGTATCGCATGAGACAGCAAATCAATTTGAAACGTTCAATTAAAAAATTAATAAAGAAATTAATAAAGAATGAGAAAGACACTCTGCATAAGCAGATTAAAATATTATACTTTTTTCTCCACACTAGAAAAATCCGACGTTAAATGTAAATGTATCAATATAATTTTTAGATTTATAAAATGAAGCAAAATAAAAATTATAAAAGAATAATATTATAAAAGATAGACAGTTTTGTGTAAATATATATAAAATATTTAACCAATATAGAAGTCTCAAAGTACATATTGACATTACGGTAGATATTGTTATGCATTATGAAATACCGTCGATGTTTTATCAATGATCCAGTATGACATATGATATATGAAATTGATAGCTGCTACGGAAATAACTGTCGGAGAAGACAGTTTTTTAAAGGATTTCAGGAAATTCTCGCATAAATCTCATTTTTAAACATACATGCACCGTGACAAATATCGAATTCTTATGAGTAATAATACAAACGATCGAAAGAGTATTTCCTGTCGTGGCCAACATAAGCAAGTGGATAATTTCTTTTATTTTTTTTTTTAACTTGTCGTTTCTTGGTTACAGTTAGTAATAAAAGCTATTCATATCTGACCTGTCCCCATTCCCCATCTGTCCGCAGGAGTATGAAACATTCCGGAGCACAAGTCGGAGGTCATCGGTCCGAAGGGAGGCAAGCCATGCGACGGTAACAGCGATCCCGAGGACCGGAATACGTTGGTTGTCTTCTTGCGCTTCTTCCATTTTGCTCGTCGATTTTGAAACCATACCTAAAAACCACACAAACAGGAAATCATTATTAGCAGTTCGATGAAAAGAAAACAAAAATTTTTTAAGTCCTGAAAAAAGATTTTATACTTCTTGTTCATTTACAAATGACGGAAATATTCGTATATCTTCACTGACAATGCTTTTTCTTATTTTATTGAAGTATAAATAATTAAAGATTAATAGATTTCGATCATCAATAACCACAAGAAAGAAAGATCACATATCCTTCTCATCTAATATTTCTCCTGACGTTTTCCTGACGTGATCGAAAATCATATATCCGACAATTTCTCTGCCCGTTCTCCTCCCCGCGATAACATTTTTTTTCTTAATAGGACGCAACCAAATCCAACCATTGCGACGGTAAGATGTCCCTCGGTGTTACGACAATATCTTCGACCCCACCGCGGGTAGCTATTAGCCGACGTTATGAGCTGTTGATTCTGGCCACGTAGTGGCCCCCTAAGCTGCCGGGGTCCCGGGGAACTTGATTTATTGATATCGCATGCAAAGCCCGCCTCTGTGTTCTCCGATATACCTACCCTCGCCCTATCTCACCACCACCACTAGCTCCAACTCACTACCACTACCCTACCATTCTCTCTCTCTCTC